CTCTTGCACCCCAGGCTGCCCCCGCCCCCCCGGCCCCCCCCCTGCCTCTGCCTCCCTAGTGCGGGCATTAAAGGCATGTGCCACCAATGCCCGGCAAGAGTAATGCTCTTAATTTAAGAAGATAGAGAGATTATTTCTATCATTTCTACTATTGAATCTCTTTTGTTTTTGGTTTTTCAAGACAGGATTTCTCTGTGTATTTTGAAGCCTGTCCTGGAACTCACTCTGTAGATCAGGCTGGCCTCGAATTCACAGATGTTCTCCTGCCTCTCCTTCATAAGTGCTGGAATTAAAATAGTGTGCCACCACCTTTTGTCCTCTACTGTTGATTTCTGTTGTCCATGTAAACCGTTAAGGAAAAAGAGATTAGGAACAGCACCAGAATCCAGGAAGTCTTCATGAGCCTACCCTGATAGTCAATGCAAGGAGATCAGGATATCTACTTCAAGAAGGAAAATGTAAAGCCTGGTGGTAGTTGAGTACTCCTTTAATCTCAGTATTCAGGAGACAGAGACAGGTATCCACTGTGACTTCAAGGCTAGCCTGGTCTAAAGAGCAAGTTCTAGGACAGCCAGGGCTACAGAGAAACACTGTCTCAGAAAACCAAAAAAAAAAAAAAAAAAAAAAACAAAAAAAAAAAAAAAAAAGAAAATGAAAGAAAGAAAGGCAGGAGGGAGGGAAAGAGGGAGCGAGGGAAGGAAAAAGAAACAAAGAAAATGTTATGAGTCCAGATTTGGGGGTTTCATGAACTTCTTACTATTAGAACATGGGCTTGAATCTTAGGCCAGATCCCACAGTCTGAATAGGTCAAGGCCAACCTCCCAGCTGCTCTGTGAGACCTTTAAGAAGTTGTCTGTTCAGTGTAGTGTGAGACATAAATCACTTTAACCCTGTAACGAGACAACTTTCAGCTGCTAGGGCACCATGAAGCCTTGAGAATAAGGTGTTGCATGGGACACTGAGTCCAGAGGCACGGGAGAGTCTGATTGTTTGTATTTTATCTTTACTTGAAATAAATTTATCATAAACCTGAAAAAAAAAAAAGAAGTTGTCTGTTAGCTGCCCTAGCAGCAGCCCCCCGATTTATGGACCTAAGCAAGTTCTGGCTGCTCCAAACTCTGTCACTTATGAACTAAATCACACAATAAGAAACTTCCCCCTTGAAGGAAAAAAAAGAAATAAAAGGACGAAATGACTGCTCCTACCTATGTTGGAGGAGATGATCTATTGTAGGTATGAGGGAGAAAACAGACAGAGGCATCCAGAAGAGTCCAGAGTGAACACGACCAGCAAACTGAACTGGTCCTATGAGGAGAGGGGAAAGCAAAGAGCCAAGAGGCCATGAGCCCAAAAGGACCTGCATAGACAAAATGACTGGGTTATATAGGAAAGAGCAGCTGGGGGAAGGGCAGCCCAGCCCAGTCCCTAGGCTGGAGAATTTAGGAAAGGGGTGGGGTGTGCTAGGTACTGGCCTTGCTGAGAGAATGGCAGCCACTGTCTGCTTTGATATGTTAATAAGCAACATGGTTTGCTTTCCTCCAGAGGCCTAGCTTCTAGGACCTCCAACACTAAAAGATTCTAACAAGCCAGTCTTTCCCTTTGCTCTGAGGACCAGCCTGAGACTCCTCAGTGAGGCTGGAGGCTGAGAAGATTATTGTGCAGGCTGCTCTCTGAGGAGGGTCCTGGGTCTGCCCTGCCATCCTAGTCATAGCAGCTTTTTCTGTCTAGTCCTCACTATCTTTAGTGCCCCCTATCTCTCTCTAGTCCTCTCTAGCTCTAGTGCTCCCTCTCTCTGTCACACACACAGATTCCTGCTCTTCATAAATCTCCTGTCCAAGTTGTAAAGAGAAGGCCCTCCTTCCCTGGAAGCCCTTTCATACCCCATCAAGGGATGAACCTCATACATTGTATTGTTTCTTTCTAATGCTCTACCTAGAGGTCTGATCTCCACCTTCTCCTTCTAAAAAAGCTCATTGGAAGGAATTGTGTGTCAGCATCATTCATAGACTAATGACTGCTGCTCATGTGACCACACTGCAGAGTGACTATGAACTAACTGCTCATGTGATCACACTGCAGAGTGACCATGGACTAAACACTGCTCATGTGATCACACTGCAGAGTGACCATGGACTAACCACTGCTCATGTGATCACACTGCAGAGTGACCATGGACTAACCACTGCTCATGTGACCACACTGCAGAGTGACTATGGACTAACTGCTCATGTGATCACACTGCAGAGTGACTATGGACTAACCACTGCTCATGTGACTACACTGCAGAGGGACTATGGACTAACTGCTCATGTGATCACACTGCAGAGTGACCATGGACTAACCACTGCTCATGTGATCACACTGCAGAGTGTCTTGTGAACAGGTGGTGGAGGGAACACAATACTATCAGGTCCTTTCCATTGTTCAAGCAACAAATTGTGTGGCGTGATGTGAGACCTATATCAAAGGCCCCAGGCAGGGCAGACAGGGAATAGAACTCTCCACCTATACATGTGGCATGTGCTCAGCAAGGTCAGTGACCATTATTGAAGCCAGCTCATCAGCACAGCAGCACCCTGCATTGCCTGCTTTTCAGGTTAGAGCTATAGTGCTTTAACAGTGTTGGGGAGAGGCAATTCTTAAAGTCACTTACTTACAGCTTAAATCCCCACTGTATTTCAAGATGAAGAATGGATGCAGATTCATGGACCAACAAGACTGTCCAAAGTACAGTTAGGACATGAATTCTGATGGTCTTGAATTAAGATTCATTTTAGGACCTCATCTAAGCAAATAAAGTTGTTCTGTGCCTCAAAAGAGAACATTTTAAGTCTGGGTTTTGTTTGGTTGAGAATACATGGCTGAATTCTCAGCACTGGAGTTAGAGGCAGGAGGATCAGGAGAGCATGACTATCAGAGGACAGCCTGAGATGCACAGCATTACATCTTTAAACGACTCAAAGCAAGTGTTTAAACAAACATGTTTAAAAGAACTTTCTAGCCAGGCAGCGATGGAACAGCCACGCAGTGCCGGGTGGTGTTGGTGCATGGCTTTGATCCCAACACCTGGAAGGCAGAGACAGGCAGATCTCTATGAGTTGGCAGCCAGTCCAGCAGCCTGGTCTACAAAGCAAGTTCCAGGACAGGCTCCAAAGCTACACAGAGAAACCTTGTCTTGGGCGGGGGAGGGACAAAACAAAAACAAAAACCACCAACAAACAAAAGAACTTCCTGTTTCCTTGTTCTAGAAGAAGAACAAATTACTAGCAAACAGAGGACTCGGTTCACTTGCAAGACATAAGGAAAGGAAACAAAGAAAGCTTACCTGGTTTAACTTCCAATGAAAAGGTCACTTTGAGATCATTGAACCATCCAGGCACCTCCACTCGACAACAATACAGACCACTGTCACTCTGGATAACATTCTCTATTGTTAGGGACACGTTTCCTCCTGAAATATTTCCCTTTAGCTGGTATCTGCTGCTCCTCTGATAGACGACACTGTTTCCATTGGTCCAGATAAGTGTGTTTACACAATTAAAAGATGGGCATTGCCCTCGGCCCCAGCATATATTATAGACTCCCCGAAATGTTGAGTAAGTACATGGCAGTGTGACAGGGTCACCCGGCACTGCCTTCACTACTGTGTAAGAATCTACAGCACCTGTGATGTAAAAAAGTGGGGAGGGTAAAATGTAAAATTAGTAACCAACATTTTCCTAAAATTTTGTTGTCGTTGTTTTTAGGAAAAAATATGGGAAAGGGGGACTAAAATGGAACCATAGCTGCAGCCCTTCCTTTTTATTACTTTGTTTTGTTTGTTTTTATTGTTTTGGTTTTCTGTTGGTAGTCATAAAAGGGAATGACAATGTTTGTATCATTTGGTTTTCTGAATCAGGGTCTCACCTTGTAGCCCTGAACTTGTTGCATAAACCAGGCTGACTTCCTTCTCCTAGAGTTCTGCTGCCTCTACCTCCACAATCCTATGATTACAAATCCAGTTTTACAGCTTGAATTTGAAGACTAGAAACATTTTACTGTTAGCATATCCTTCTTCAGTGTGATCACTTAATGGATACATTGTGAACAAAACAAATTATTCTGTGGTAGGATATTCACACAGATACTTTTCAATTCTTTTTTTCTTCTTCAGCATGTTTTTGCATCCAAGCACACCTTGGCCCTACCCCTTGGGGCACATGGCAAGCAGTACCCTGGCTCTGTAAGCAAGAGCAAAAGGTCCCTTTAAGAAACAAGCTCTGGGGCTGGAGAGATGGCTCAGAGGTTAAGAGCACTGACTGCTCTTCCAGAGGTCCTGAGTTCACTTCCCAGCAACCACATGGTTGCTCACAACCATCAGTTATGAGATCTGGTGCCCTCTTCTGGAGTGCAGATATACATGAAAGCAGAATGTTATATACAATAAATAAATAAAATATAAAATAAAAAAAGAGACAAGCTCTGCCCACTCCTCCCCTCTTGGCCCCTCTGTTCCTCTGAAAAGACAAGCAGGTCTTTCCCCCCCTCTTTCTCTCCCTCTCCCTCTTTCCCTCCCTCTCTTTCTCACTCAGTTGTTCTCCCTCTCTCTCCCTCTCTCCTCTCCCTGTCTTTCTCTCTCTCCCTCCCTTTCCCAACTCCTTTCCATCCCCCCAATAAAACTCCCCACATAAGCTGGGTCTGTATGGACATATGGTTTGTCCCTCACCTACCATGGGGCTTCCCACCAAGTTCAATCTCAGTGTGTGCGTTTCTTTTGGAGACAGGGCATTGTTATATGCTTCAAACTGACTGAAAATCAGAATCCTTCCATCTCTGCCTCCTGAGTGCTGGGCAATTAGCTTGTGCCACTCAGACCAGACCAATAGTTCAGTTTTAAACATTTAAAATTTTATTTCAGAAGCCAGGCCCATGGGTAACACTTGTAAACCCAGAACTCGCTTGTATTCCCAGAACTCACTTGTATGCTCAGAGCTCAACTTCTATACCCAGAATTCACTGTACCCCCAGAACCTGGGAGGTAGAGGGAGGAAGATGAATTCAAGGCCAACTTCAGCTAAGTAACAGTTTCAAAACTGTTTTGAATTGGCTCTGTAACAATTTAGAGACCCTGTCTCAAACCATCCTTCGTCCTCATCCACAGTGCTTGGACAGCACAATCACTAACTCTTTCCACCTCTCCTAATCAGAGCAAAGCCAGGGCTTTTGAATAGCATTGTTGGCTTCAAGGCAGAACGTTAGTACCTTCAAAATCAATTTTCAGAAAGGGTTTTCGAAAACCATCAGAAGGAACTAAGGGTTATTCTGAACTTTGCGAGTAGCCCTTTACGAACAAAAAACAAACCAACCAAACCAAACAAACAAACCCCAAACCAAACAAACAAACATTCCAGAACTTGAGCAAGACTTACTTGTGAAGACCACATAACCAGAGAAAATGCAAGCAATAACTCAATGATTCAATTAAAAAAAACTAAAATAATGAAGTATAATTCTTCTGAGAATAATGGGATAAAATTCCTAATATCAATTGCTTCCACAGTGGCCTTTAAAGGAAACTCTGAGGGCTGAAGACAGAGCTCAATGATACAGTGCTTGGCTAGCCCATGCCAAGCCCTGTGTTGGGTCCCAGCAACAGAAACAAACAAACAAAGGCACAAAACGATGGACTGTGATACTCCCTAACTAGTCACCTATATGCAGGCCTAGGCTGTGAATTTGGGACATGATCAGAGAAAGCACATTCATAATTATATAAAACGAGTCTATTTCTTCCTGGGACACTCATTACTTAATTTTGCCAAATACCTTTTTTAGGACCACATATAAAATAAATGCTGTTTCACCAAGTCATAGAAATATATTTCAGTTCTCACCAGTGAGTTCATCTCTTTGGAGAATCTTAGATACTGAGGCAGGGGATCAAAAGTCTGAGGTGTTCCTCAGATAGCTGTGGAGTCAGAGGCCAGCCTGGACTAACTTAGACCCTGTCTCAAAGACAATTCTGGTGTTCCTTCTTTCCCCCTTCCATAGAATGCTTTGAATTAGAGTGTTTTTAAGATAAGTAATTGAAAACGGTTTAAATATTAAAACTGCATGGAAAACTCTGGTTCTGATTTTTTTCTTAAGCGTTGACTAGCATAGGTAAGCATGTGTGCTCATTCTTACTTGTCTATAGCATACATCTTGTGTTCTCACCTCTTGCCTGACATGTTCTAGGGATCCTGTTTATTTAGCCATAGGTTTTGAAATTCATACAGGTTAAGAAAGTTCTTTAGAGCTACAATTTGTCCTGGTTCTCTGCTCACATCATAACCTATAATAAAAAAATAATAAGATTATCATCACTTCTGCATCCCCAAACTCACTGACTCACTTACCTGGGAGAAGTAGTAAGAGGCCTGAAATGAAGACTTGAGGAAGCATCATGGTGTCGACCTGAAGGACAGTGAGAAGACACTCTGGTTGGCTGTGGCACTTAGCACACTGTATCTGAGAAGGTCTGCATTTTGACTATGAATCACACAGGCCTCTCTGCCAGGGACCCATGTCCTCCCAAACACCATCCCTTCCTCACACACAGCCATCAGTCTCACTCCTGGTCATGATATAAATAAGGCAGCAAACAGAGAAAACTGAAGGCAGTTACAAGAGTCTGTTCTCTTGGTAGAACTCTAAGCAAAGATGAGCCTTCTAATGCAAAGATGCACTTGCCTCCCAGTAGACACAGAGCTATTTCTGTCCAATAAATACAGTGATTAGTTCCTGGATCTCAAACAACTTAATCATTAGCAAGATGGGCTGAACCAGAAGGCTCACACACTGTGCCTGAGAGCACATCCTCCTGGAGAATGTCTACAGATATGCAGAAAATTAATTGGTACAGATAAAAACCTTCTATTCCTAGAGGCTCCCCACACCTAAATTTCCTCCTAGGTAAAATAGCACTTATGTTTGCTCAGCTTTTTGGAGAATCTGCTATGAAGGAGACAATGAGCTATTTACTCACAAGAACTGAATCCTCATGGAACCCCCAATGCAGCTACTTTTAAGCCATTTATAGTGGAAGGTATGTGTCTTCAGAATTCAACATCTGTATTTCAATGTTTGTTTCTTAATTGGTAAACTATAAAAACATGAGTAAGCCTGCCCAGTACTTCATTAACTCCACTTCTGCTCAGAAGATTCCATGACTTCCTCTCAGGGAGGAGAGTGTGTCCTGTTACCAGTCTTTAAAATAGTAATGGCTTTCTTGGAGCCCCCATGAGCTCAGCATCGTCAGCACTGGGGTCCTGCACTATTACACTAACAGCCCTTGTACTTAGAAGACATCAGAAAACTAATGTGGCAAACTGGTGGCCAAACAATGATTTTAATGAACTTCTTAAACATCTCATTTCTTTATTATAAGACAACTTCAGAACATATAAAATCAACATGAGACGCAGCTATCTTACTAATTAACATGGCACCAACCATTCTGTCCCTTTAGAGTTCTACTGAGGAAGGATAAGGTACTTGGGAATTCACTGCCTCACACAGTTGGCTACCTTCTTGACACAGCCTCACTGTCACAGAGTCATCTCAGAGGATGGCCTGTGTCCTACCCACTCATAAAATGAAGGGAATAGACAGTGATGGTTAATAGATTTCCAGCTTCCCAAAGGAAACCTTCTCCACATTCTGGAATTCAACTGAGGAACTAGGTGAGATCTACCATGGAATAAGCACCTTGCTGGTGCTTGAGATCCTTTTATTTTCTGTCTTTACAAACTTGAGAAGAACACTTGAGTCCGTCTCAACTACTAAAATTGAGCTGCAGTTCCCTGTAGAATCCACACCTGTGGAGATCCTGAAGGATGACTGTGGAGGGATGGAAAGTTGAAGTTCAAGAAACACAAATAGTATAAATTCTCTCTAGTCCCTCAGTAGCCATTTACTATGACCCTCTGTATCTCACCTACCATCCTTGTGACAATTAGGAACAACTTCTGAAACATATCGTTACATTTTCACACATGTAGCTTCTCCCAACCCTGTAGCAAAGAATTATAGAACAACAGCAATCTACATAAGAGTTTACTGTGTTCTGCTATGTCCCAACTGCCTGATGTTGCCACCAGGATCCGTGGTATATGCATTGATGAACATGCCAGGGGACACATGTGGTCAGAGAACAGCTATGTGGAGTAGGTTCTGTCCTTCTATAATGCCAGTTCTGAGGGTTAAACTCAGGTCCTCAGGATTGGTTGCAAGCACCTCCATCTACTGAGGCATCTCATGGTCTCAAGGGCTGCATTTTATACTGTCAAAAACTAGAACAAATGCTGAAGTGGCTCACACAGAATTAAAACTTGCCTCCTTCATTTGAAAAGCAAAATGTTTTAATACTAGTTTTATTGTGACCTCTGATCAGGCCAAATTCCAATGACCATAAGAAGGATTTTTAAAAAGATTTTTTATTTCAATGCTGTGATCATTAATAAACTAAGGATGAGCGAGTATGATTCAGTACAATAGGGATGTAGAGAATCCAGAGTTGTGTAAGCAATGTACAGGAGAAAGTGACCAACTGACAGATAAATTCACAAACAATGAGACAGATGGTAAATGTGTAATCAGACCATGGCATGTCCCATGGACAACCCTACCTCAGCTCTCTCAAGGAGTAGGGAACTCAATTCATTACCCAGAGATTTTACAAATGTACCAGTTATGTGGACCCTGTCTAGGGCTCAGATTTGCTTTCAAGGCCCCTTGTCCCACAGTCACCTGGACTTTCCTTCCAATTCATCTCCTGAAGTCCGTGTCCAAGTGGTGTTCTGTCTTGGCTCTTCTTCCTTAACCCCAGTTTTCACTTTTTCTCCTTTCTTAGTAATCCCTGCTTAAGAGTCTGGGACATTTCCCTTGGATCATCTGTAGTCTGAACAGCCATCCAGCCCCTGTCCCAGATCTTAGTTGATCATGGCTATCATGTCCTTCTTTCCCTAAGCAGCCAACATCGTGGGTATAATCACCTGGTCTCTGCATTTTCTTTCCAGCATAGTGCCACCAAGTAGAACCTTCATTATTATATCTCTTTGTTTTAGCAGAGCTAATATGAGTTTATTAATGAAAAGCAAATAGTAACTCCCAAGATTAGAGGAGCCCCAATTGAGGTATACCTGAATACTATAAACTCTCCCTCATTTTTGAAGCAGGGTTTCTTCCCTCTTTCACTCACTCTCTCTGTGTTTCTGTCTCTCTCTCTCTCTCTCTCTCTCTCTCTCTCTCTGTGTGTGTGTGTGTGTGTGTATGTCTTGTCTGAAACTTACTAAAAGTTCCAGTTAAAATTCATGACAATCTTTCTTCTTTCATCTCCAGAAAGCTGAAATTAGGGTGTTGGCCACCAAGTCCAGTTATCAATAGAACTATCTCTGATGAGGGTGTCATTATGGATGAGCTCTGTGTATTATTGTAGACATCGGGGACTGATCTAGCACTGGAAATGTAGCTAACACAAGTGAGTAAAAAAAAAGTTTGTTTAAACAGCACTTCTCTATGTAGCCCTGGCTGTCCTAGAATTCACTCTATAGAACAGGCTACCTCAAATCACAGATATGTGTTGCCTCTGCCTCCTTAGTGTTGGGATTAAAGGTATGTGCTGTCAAACCCTACCAGATTGAGAAAAGTTTTATAAGATTTTTTTTATTACTTTTTTTTTTTTTTTTTTTTTTTTTTTTTTTTTTTTTTTTTTTTTGCAAGGGTTTTTTTTGT